TTGGTCAATGCAGATTGAAATTTTACGTCAGAACTGTCAATTTCGAAATATACAGGCACCTGAATGTGTTGGTGGTTGTACATATTACATGTCGATAAAAGAATTGTTAGGAATTATATTAATTCGAATATTTGAATATCAGGAAACATGGATATATAGAATACCGCGAACAGCGAAAATCTGCACCACCATCATGCTTGAACTAAAAAGCGGCCGTTTTGGAACATGTTCGTGGAAAAAATATTATACCATGGATAACTTATACTAATATTCAAAATTCTCAAATTTTCCTATCACCTGCAACATTTTCGACAGTGATAGAATGTCAGTCAGTTAGATAGTTAGTAATGAGTTACTTATATGAGTACAAGGGATGGCTGAGTTTATAGCGCACGCTGAACAGGAACACACCTTATATATGATAAATTACTGTCGCCCCATCAAGGAGGACATGATTTCATTCTAATCAAAAAAGCGCGTCTTGGGTGTCTGGGTAGTCTAATTAATATTGCGAGTCAATATTAGAATAAGACGTTCTAGCCAACAAAATCACCCTGTTAACAAGGAAATACTAAAGAGTGTGCCTTGCCCAGGTATTTGTCCGTTTTGTCTAATTACAGTGGAACACTAGGTGGTGAATCGACCAACACATTGAAAAAAGTCAATCCATGATAATACATACCAAAGATACAATGTTATTTACTAGCAAACAGCATCTTAAATGACGACTTTGCCATGAATAAACTCTAAATTAAATTAAATTAAATTAAAGAACAATCATATTTAATTGTAAAACTAAAACCGCCATTCGTAAAATATGAATTGTGATTGACGCATTTTAGTACAGCGTTCTAACTGTGTGTTCTTTATATGAATACATTTTGCTAACCATCCCGGCGAAGTATTTACACATCACACAGCTGTGGACATATAGGCTAAAGAAAGTTCACTAGGTTGAGTGGAATATGTGCGTGTTATCAACATATGCATCATTATATATTTCTAAATGACGTGATTCAATATTTTCTTCAAAATATATCGACGGGAAAAATATTTGTTGATTTCTCCAAATAATTTTTTCTTTGATATACCGACCTCTGCCTCCACATATCCGTTTCTGTTAATCCCTTTTATTTTCTTGGTATGCGATAGGAATAATTCAAATATCGAAGTGTAGACCACGACTGTAACAAAAAAAATTATGGTGTGAAGTAGCCGTTTTGATTCGCAGATAATTGCATTAAGTCATATTCAACAATATGCAATCTCTGGAATTGACAAAATAGCAATCAGAAGTATTATGAATATTATATTCCAGGATTATTAAACACTTTTATCTATTTTAGTTTTCACTGAATTATAAGCAAAAATGATCAATGAAACAATTTGCTAACAATTTTACACAGTCAACATTTTGGTAGTGTGATTTCAGAAAACGGTTTGACAGAAATTTGTATGTTGTGCCGACATCGAAACGTAGAATGGCATTCAATTCGTAATATCTCGTCTTTTTCGTTTATTAGATAAAATTATGTGTGATGTCATAGGTAATGAATATGTATGAGGTAAAAGTAGAGAATGATATTCTTGCACAAATATACCTTTTACACATAATAAACACACCAATGTTTATAATATGTAATATTTTATTTTATTTAATATGAGTAATTAGTATTATATCGTGTTATTTCTTCGCTAAACTGAGAATAATAAACACAACAATATTCGACAATGCCGCGACCATAAATCGGACAGTAACATTATATTCCAATTGGCAGCAACAAACTACAACTTTCCAAGCATTTGCACCTTAGTGTCAGAGTAATTAAACAAAATCATATAATGTATTCAACATATCTGAAAGCTACGTTGGTAGAATGGCAATACTTCTGCATATCATTCAATTTCGTGATATTGACAAAGAAATTCATGTTATCCAATGTTCTGTGATCTGAACCAATCATAGTGTGCGTAACATGGAGATGATAAATTACTGTACTTGTATGTAAACACAAATCCAAGCAAACACACGACTAAATCGTATTCATGTTGCAATTCATTAATCATCTCGGCTTCTAATCACATATGATGTGTACATCGCTTTGTATTGGACGTGTTCAAATTTTGACAGCGCTTAATGGCATCAGCTGTGCGTTCGAAGCCCCTGTATACACAAGTAAGCAAATAACACCGAATAAACGGCAAGGTAAAGACTATGTCTAATTATAGTAAATACGTACTGCGTGCGTGACTCGAACCGGCGCTCGCGTACGGCACCTAATCGCCTAGCTTCACGCCACTACACGTCTTCCCCTCGGCCACCGGGCATCCCCAAAAAAGGATGCTTAATAACCGAGCTTATTACGTGCAGAGAACGTGAAACCCGTCCACGCGATACGCGCCACACAGCATGGCCAGAATGCGGCAAAGGCCTTCAGATCTGGCTGTAGTAGGATGGTGAAAGTAATGGTACAGCATTTTAACAGTGAATAAGTACTGAGAAATAATTTTTAAACTCATAGTTGCTGTCGACATAGGAAGTAAAGTAAGCAAATAACACCGAATAAACGGCAAGGTAAAGACTATGTCTAATTATAGTAAATACGTACTGCGTGCGTGACTCGAACCGGCGCTCGCGTACGGCACCTAATCGCCTAGCTTCACGCCACTACACGTCTTCCCCTCGGCCACCGGGCATCCCCAAAAAAGGATGCTTAATAACCGAGCTTATTACGTGCAGAGAACGTGAAACCCGTC